ATGGATGGATGGATGGATTTTTATGACTTGTTTGAGAGGGACTCTTTTGGTCCTTAGGGTAAAATATGAATGTGTTTTTTCCAATAAACTGTCAATTTAACAATACTGCATCAAATTTAATGTTATCAGTTATTGACCTGGTCAAAGCAGCATTATCTCATGCAAAATATTCCACTTTGCACCTAATTTTGGGAAAATATCGGATATTTTGTGTTTTTCCTGGGGGGGGGGGGGGGGGGGTAAAAAAGCTTATCATTATTTTATTTTTATATTTTTTACAAAGAAGGTATGAAAATCTAAACATGTATATTAAAAAAAAAACGTTATATCCAGTCTGAAGTTTTTGAAAATATCTGATACAGTGGAGGTAAAAAAAAATTGAATAACTTTTATATTACACTTTTTGAGAGGAACCGCTTTGGGCTCGAAGGTGTTAAGTATACTGTATATTCATTTTAAAGGTGCTTCAATCACCAATGGTTTAATGATGAGCAGTTTATCCATCTGCTCCCACACCCCCCAGGAAAATGACCCATGCCATTGATTAAAGTCTAAACTTAAAAACAAGGCAATTGATGCCTTTCTTCTTTTTTTAGTTTGTCTGACTTCCAATTATTTTTAAATTATTTGTCTAACCACAGCACAATGTCTGTATTCATTTCCATTCGGGTTTGTTCAGCTTATAAATTGCAGTTTATAGCCACAAGATACTAAATCAGTTTTAAATTATATAATATACTTAACAATAAGTACTGTCTAAACAGTTAGGACCAGATGCTATACTTCATCGCTTCTTGTTTTATTTATGGATGCCCTTCCTGATGCAACCAAGGACCACTGAGCTACCACAGCCCTCTGTGTGGAGCAGAGAGCTGCCATTAGGGTGCCCGGGGGAGCAGATAGAAGGGGTTAAGGGCCTTGCTCAAGGGCCCAGAGTGGGGCGAATGAGGTGGAGGCAGGTGTGGGTGCTTCACCATTCCCACCCACATACTGTATATAGTACAGAGCTTACACTTTATGAAAAACTAGGTTCCTTCAGCAGCTGCAGAAAAGTGCTGTGGTGAAAAATAAAGTCTGTGGTGGCCAGTGTCCTTTTCTCGTATGCTGGGAGGAAATGGTGCGAAAAGGGACACGGCAAGACGTGCACAGACTGCAGGGCTGGTTCAGAGGTGGGCATGGAGTAAGGATTGTAGCTGTGAAGAAGACCGAAGTGGCCCTGCTGAGTAGCACCCAGTACCTTCTGCACAGGACGATCATCAGGAAAGTGGAGTGCATTCATTCACAGATTTATGCTGCACCCATGACAGACTCATTCATCCTCTTGTCTGTACTGTATAACCCCTCCCCACTATGACACAGGATAAGAAAATGAGCCATCAATCAAGACATGACTGTAAAAGCGATATACTCAATTTGTCCTGCTTTTAGTTGATTCAAGTAGTGGCTGAATAGAGACACTATTTCTTACTAAAACTGTTAATAATAAGAGCTGTCTGTCTTAGTCTGAGCTGGTTTAACCAGTGTGACAACAGTGCCACCTAGTGGCCAAACTAAGTTTCGCTTTCTGGGGAAACGAAACCAAAAGCAAACGGTTTTTTTTTCCAGTTACGAGTGCTGACTTGAGTCCAGTCCATTAGGGGTTTTAACTTTAGCCGCACTGTTTCTTTTTCTTGGCAGACAGGTGAGGGGCCATGGCGTCTGAGAGCGATAAAATCCAGGAGCGTCTCATTGAAAGCCTTACACCGAGGCTCGAGAAGTACATCACAGTGGAGCCGGTTCTCAAGTATTTATATTTCATCCAGCCCGAGCAACAGGAGCAGATCAAACAGAAGTTGAACACGGACGGGGATGTATCAGCTGCTAGGTTGCTCATTAACCTGGTCATTACGACGCCGCACCAGGAAGGCTGGTTCCGGGCCTTCGTTGACGCTTTATTTCATGGAGGGAATGAACTTGCAGCCAAGTATTTAGAGTCAAACCCTCCGATCAAGGAAGTGGAGGAAGAGAATGATTACTGCGTAAAGCTCATTCGAATACTGGCTCCCAGTCTTGTGGAGATGAAGACAGAAGAAGTGTGTATCCATTGTTTAGATCACGAGATTCTCACCGATGACGACAAGGAGAAGGTAGGGAGCAGGGGCACCGCCACGGGGGTATAAGGGGGGGCAGCGGCCCCGATATGATTGCTGCCACCCCCAGACCAGACGGTTTTAAGTGCGTAATTTATTTGTTAGATAAATTTTCTGTAACTTTCAGAAAGTGATCAGTGAATGCATGACTGGCTGGAGAAAAAAACAATAACGGGGAGAAAAAGCCACCTATCCATTATCTTTACCTTCTTCCTTTTCGGGTCGTAGGGGGGGTCACTGGTGCCCATGTCCAGCCATCACTGTGCAACAGGCGTGGGACACCCTGGACAGTTCTCCAGTCCATCACAAGGACAAATGGCGACAAACGAGAAAAACAACCATTCACTCTCACACTCACACCTAGGGACAATTTAGATTAGCCTAACATACATGTTTTTGGTCTGTGGGAGGAAAATGGAGTGCCCGGGAAAAACCCACATGCACAGAGAGAACATGCAAACTACCCAGAAAGCCCCCATGCCAGGATTTGAACCAGGTTGACCTGCTTGAAATCATTTGAGTTGTTTGTTTTTTCTACATAACGGCATGTTCCTAAGTGCTAGTTGGTGTAATGGATATTTTAATGTTCTGTCATGCAGTAGACTTGAGCTCCTAACCCTTCAAGGATACAAGTAGTTTTTTAAACCATCCATCCGTTATCTTTATTCACTTCTTCCTTTTTGGGTTGCAAGGGGTCACTGGTGGCCATGTCCAGCAATCACAGTGCGAGGGGCGGGGTACACCCTGGGCAGGTCACAAGTCCATCACAGGGACACATAGAGACAAACGAGACAAATAACCATTCACACTCTCACTCACACTGATTGGGACAAAATGCCAACACACCATATTTTAGTCAAATTTTAGGTCTTTCTGCTGCTCCTTTCATGCAGGGGTCACTACAGAGAGCAAAATGGAATAAAGGCGTAAAAGTTGGCAGCACGATGGTGGTCAGCACTGCCTCACAACAAGAAGGTTCAATCCCTGGTTTGGACCTGGAGTCTTTCTGTGTGGAGTGTGCATGTTCTCCTTGTGTTTGCATGATTTTTCTCCGACAGTCCAAAAAACATTGATGTTAGGCTGACTTCAGGCCTAGGCCTCCCTTACAAAAGAGATCCATGATCTCAGTGGGATTTGCCTGGTTAAATAAAGGTTAATGACATCAAATAAATAAAGATTTGGCAATTGTTTTCAGGTTGGTTGCCTTTTCCGGTGCAATCTGGGCTTGATACTACAGCTGTAGAATTGCAGGACTGACGCTGAGCTACAGCAGCCCAGGCAATATTTAGTCTACTGTAATCCAAAAATGAGAATACTACTGTATGAGCACAGTTAGGAAATCCTACTGGTTTTCCTATTTTCAAATGGAATGCAGTACAGACGGGTGTGACGTCATTCTCTGATCCAAGTTCTAACTTCATAGGCAAATAAATTGTAGCATAAAACTTAGGAATATTTGTTATGGCTGTTGGTTTTGTTGTGCCACACCTATAGTTCGTCAGTGGTCCACATCTGGCAACGCCTTTGAAAACTTGCTCAGGAAATATGCTGATTAAAGTGAATATCATATGTTTAACAGGGCCACAGTATAGTTGTAAATTTAATGTAAAGGTTTTAAGCAAGCAAGTGTTTTTCTTTAAAATTTGCACTACAGTACTTTTCAAATTTATTTCATTCAACCTTTGGCTTTCTGTCCACTAGATGGCAGTAAAGCACACTCCTCTGTCAGGAAGCTGTTGAAGCGACTACACCTTACCTCTCATTGCACAGCAAATCATCTCCCAATTGTGTTCAAATTTCTAGATTTTGGCTGAAACGAGAAACAAAGGATCCAAGAGTGGAGCCTCTGAACTTCTGAGGAGAATCGTGAAACGTCCTCCAGGATGGTACTCTACATTTCTTCAAGTTCTGCGTGAGACCGAGCACAAGCACCTGTGCGAACTGACCGGAGGACCACCTGAGTGTGAGAAGGGTGAGTGTCAAACTGCTCGCACTAATGGAGCACGCACAGTTGTCTCCGTGACTTTTTGAACAGGAGGCTAACGGCTCAGATTAGGAGGCGAGTCATTTCCCAACATAACACATAGATGCTCCGTGCAGTGAAAATATTGTTGAACGCAGACCGTTTAAACGCTGGTCACTGATGAAAATGTCTTTCCAGCATCACGGACATGAAAAGAGTTATGAAGTCATAATCAGCAGCAGCTGTCAATCAATTTTCTGGAACGAGATAACATACATTTTCAAAAATCTACTTAAATAATTATTTCACAATCTTTATCCTTTAGCTTGCAGCAGTTCATGTAGCAAAAAAAAAAAAAATCGCTCCTGAATGCATGCAGCTCAAATACTTCACTTCGTTCGCTGTAACTACAGACAGGATCATGAAATCTGATCGACGTCAAAAGCTGAGCTCCCGGTGTTTTTTTGCCCGTCGTGCCCTGCTAGGCAGGAAGTTAGCAACATGGTTTCCCCCAGGTTACATGCCTTGACAGTGCGCTCATCTCTTCTGTGATTTTTTTTGTTGTTGTTGTTGTTGTTGTTGTTGTTGTTGTTGTTGGTGGGGATGGAGACACGTCTGTGTTGTGCACTGTTTGTCCCGACAGTTATTGACAGGGGGAGGCAGGGTGCTCGGTTCTGTTGACCGGGCGTGACGCCCTCCTTGTAGGGGAATCACTGAGGCTAATGTGTTACCTGGTGAAGTATAGGGGATGCACCGATCCACTTTTTCCACTTTCGATACCGATATCTGCGTTTTGGGTTCTGTCGATACCGATCTGGTACAGAAAAAACATTGCTGAATTCCATTCAACAAACGCAGCGTGCTCTTTATGGTGAAATCTCTGGAGATGCTTAAGTTGGTAGTATTACAACTGGAAGTTTTAGTGACACCGCCTGGAACCGTTGCTGTGCACGTATTGCACGTAGCTGTTGAATGTGTTGGCTGAGGTAGTGTGGAATAGTTCCAGATGGCTGATCCTTTCGCTCGCTCCATTTTGAAAACAATCTGTGCGGTGAGTTCACTGGCGCGTGACGTCACTCAGAGCACAAAGCATAGAATTAGAGTGAATAGATCTGCCCAGTCATGGATCGGTCACATTGTTACGACACCTGATCCAGAAGTTAGTTTTTATATATATATTTATATCGATACCGATATTGGTATCGGATCGTGTCGCTCCACGCCGTGGCATTTTGATATCACCGCTGTTGCCCCACAAATGAGACGCGCACACACATTTATCTTTCACAACTGTAAAACAAAAAACAAAACAAAAAAAACTCTTCTTCCACTGTGAAAAATAATGTTTTCTGAAGTTTTTCTGCCACTCTGCTCAGGGAGGTCGAAATAGTTTGTAGCTGTGCCGCTCGCAGAGATCTCAGCGCATCGCATCAGAACTTTGACTCCAGACGAGGTTAATAAGCTTTATACGTAAACCATTTTATTCTAAAGGTTTTCTTTAATTAATCCTCCATTAGACGCCTTCAGGTGGTCCAAAATGCTGCAGCTCGACTCGTAGCTAACACCTCCAGACGGGAGCACATCCCCCCTGTTTTATTTTCTCTCCACTGGCTTCCAGTCGATTTTAGAATTAAATTTAAAATGTTATTATTCACTTTTAAAGCTCTCAATGGTCTTGCCCCACTGTATCTCACTGATCTTGTAGTTATTCGTGAATATAGGAGAACACTGAGATCATCTAATACTTTTCTACTGTCTGTCCCAAAGTCCAACTACAAACGATGGGGTGACCGGGCCTTTTCTGTCGTTGCACCAGACTCTGGAACCATCTACCTCAGGACTTGTGCTCCATCACTGATATGGAGCATTTTAAGTCTAATCTTACAACCTTTTTATTCAGGCAGGCTTTTAATACCTAGTAATTCTTTGGCAAGCTTGCTATGTTTTAATTGTTAGTTTTTAATTTTTAACCGTCTTCTTTTTAATTGTTTGTTTTTAATTTTTAACTGTCTTCTTTTTAATTAATTTGTTTTTAACTTCTGTATTGTGTATCATATGTTATTACTTACATTTAAAAACGTAATAAATGATTATTTTTAGGCAGTGCTCCTTGATGGTGAGTGCTATTTTTAGAACATGCTCCATGGGTGACTCATGTGGTAGAGTTGCATTCGGGCCTAAAAAGTCCGACCCAGCCCGGACCGAACCCGTATCATTTTTTTTCAAGCCCGACCAAGGAACTGAACTGAGATTACAGACCCAACCCCCCACTCCCACAAAAAAACGACTTAAAAAAAAAAAAAAAGCTTTTACTGCTTTTGTAAGCAAATCAGTTTGACATGATTTAAAAACGTATATCAAAGAATGGAAGATATAAGATTTCTTGTTTATTAATAAGAGTCAACGCATTATTATAGTTATTATAATATTATAGGTATTATAGGTATTACAGTTATTAACGGTCGTCGGCTGCGCGCATCCGCTGACGCAGCGGCTTGGTCCAGTTTAGCCACAGGTGAGTCGCTGGCAGTGATCCTTCTGGACGTTTTTGTACCTCTTTCAATCGACCAGTCTACTGACGCAATCAAAAGCCCGACACCGACCCGGCCCGCCAATCCAGCACATTATTTTGGCCCGGCTCGAATTATGGGTCGGGCCGGGCCTGGCGCAGGCGCCAGGTTAGAAATGACAGCTCTGTCATGTGGACCCTGCAGGCGACCAGGTGCCCACAGTCACCGTGTTGGTGACCCCTGATTTACACGGTAAACAGCAAATCTCAGTACCAGTCTATACACAGTGAGATGAGGTGTGTACTACATTCACTGATGGAGAAAACGGGAAGGATTAACCTCTGGTGTCCACGGTGAAATGGAACGTTTTATGACTATTTTTGATTTTACATTCATATTTTACCTTTAAAAAATTCTAACCTGCCATGTTTGGTGTCACTTTGATGTGTATTTCAAGTTACCGTTTACTTCTGACCTACTGTATCAACATAATAGACCTAAAATCACACAAAAAATATCAAATCTGTGTATGAAAATTACAAAAAAAAAATTTTACTGTGAAAACCACAAACATTCATAATGAATTGGTTTTACAACTTAGAATGCAATTATAAACACTGATATTCACAAACGTGTAAAATGTTTGTTAACAAAATTAAATACACCATTTCCTTTAATGCAGCCATTTTCCGTTACAATAAATCATTTGTGCCACTCTTAAAAACAGTTTCTGTCCAAAACAAGGCCGAGGGGCACATCACATCCCCTTTTTGTGTAATTTTCTCTGTCCTACTCAGGATCAGTTCGATGAGTGTTCCAAAAAATGGATCTGAATTTGCCTCGTGTTATTTTGGCTGGAAGGGGCACAGACAAACTGTGCTTATGTCTCCGGTGATTCTGGATATTTGGCCCGGACACCGACATGTAAATCAGGAGACCAAAACTTTTATACAACTCTTCCATGTATTTTGGATCATTGATGAGGAAAATATGTCTAACTGGACCTCTGGTGTTCTGTGTGCCTGGAATCTGTTTACTCCTGGGTCAACATCCACATCCTTCTCTGTCCCCCAGAGCTCAGAACTGATGCTTGGTTCTGTTGGGACTGCCAGAGCAGTTCTGGACCTACCTGTCCACGGGTTATGCTGTCAGAACTGTCTTACTGTAGATGTTAGTTTACTCATTAAACAATTGTTGTTTTAATGTATTCATTTGTTAGGATCAAATGAGAATCACCCATCACTTAGAGGTGAAGCTGCAGCAGAGGAGAGTCCAGAGTCCATGGAAATCTGTGTCGCTGAGGAGCCTCAGGATGACTGCACAGGTCTTACTTTGCTTTTATGGCCACAGCTGTTAGCGAACACTTGATTTATTGTAAATCTATAATGATATTTAACAGTCTGAGTCAGGAACATGGATTTCTGCATTAGTCAAACATATTGTTCTCGAATCTCTGTGGAAACTGACGTGCAATACTTAAAGCAGAAAACATAATACAACAAAATATTTAGCAAATAAGATAAAGAATAACTTACAATGTCTTTTGAATATCACTACAAACATTGCTAGAATATGTGTAAGTTAGTTTCTGTGGAAAATTTATAAATAGTTAATATCTTACCTGTTGTTGATAACGCTTAGTTTGTAAAAAATTGAGTTCACTTCTGACTATTTTGATGAGCTAATGGCTAGTCTGAGCAGCAGAACCATGACCAAAGTGGATCGCTGTCCACTTTAAACAAATCCAGTCTTTTCATAGTGATTTTAATAAAAAATCCACTTCAAAATATCTGAACTGTCCCTTTATCTTTTCAAACCAAAACCAAAGAACCAAAAAAAAACAAAAAATCACATACATGTAAAAAGCTATGTTTTCCTTTTCTCAAATGTAATCCAAACTAAAATCCAGTTTAATTCAGACTTTTGAATGTTATCATTTAAATAAATTACCATTTCATAGCAATTTCAGCGCAGATTAAAATATTTTCTTCGGTTTTTGATGACTGTACTTTAATTCAATTTTGTTTGTTTCAGATCTGTATAAAAGTGCTGACCTGCCAGAAAACATGGATACCTCAGATCCAGGTGGGACTCGCTTCACTCTTAGTTACACGGTTAAAGTGTTTAAACTTGTTAGTTATCCAACAAATGTGCTTTCGTTCAGCAACAGTAGATTACCGTACTTTACGCTTTATAAGCCGCAACTTTTTTCACAGGCTTTGAACCCCGTGGTTATACAATGCTGCAGCTAATTTCTGTTAATTTTTATATTTTATTTTGGGGCGGGTTAACGAGCTTCCTGCCATCAAAACATTTAGCTTCGTCATACCCGGATGCTCATATAGCTGCCCAGTACATGTCTCTCCTAAGGGGTGGGTCCTCGTGACTTTATTTTACCGTTTAGGACAGAGTGGCGGAGGGAATTCCACCTCCGCTGAGCACTTGCTCCACCGAGAGGGATTCCCCCCATCCTGGTTCTCCCCTCCCTGTTTCATTGGTTCGACTGTGACCTGTTCGGTAATTTCATTGGTCAGATTTTGTTTGTTAATCTTTATTTATACAGGTAGTCTCATCAATACACATCTTTCTTGGTGGGTGGGTCCTCGTGACTCAGTGAGACTACCTCATTGTGGTTGACTGCCCGTCACCTGGCCTCAGGGAGGGATTATGGGTAAAATTTATGTTCGTTGTTAATCATTTCGGTTAGCAGTTTAGCATTGTTCTTTTAGTGGTTAGTTTGTTCTTCTTAGCCTAGTTTACGTGTTCATTATGTGTTAGTTTGTGTTAGGGCATTTAGTAGCGGGACCATGAGTGAGAGAGGTAGTTATCATGAAGATTTGTGGGTTCACTCTGTGTGTTTGTTGGAGAAAAAATAAATAAAGTCTGTGAAATTCCATGTAGCAGTTGAATCTTAATCTACAACAAGAGCTGCACAGTTCTCTGATGTGTGATGCCACTCATGTTACAATGTGAACACCTGCAGCTTATACACAAGGCACAGCTTATTTGTGTACAAAATAGTTTTTTTTAAGTTTTTTTATTTAGTGTGCGTGGCTTATATTCGGGTGCGCTCTATAGACCTGCAATTACGGTACTGGAAAACTATGGCAGGGGTGCCCAAAGTGAGGCCTGTGGGCCAAATTTGGCCCACCAAGCTGTTTCAGTTGGCCCGCCAAGCTGTCCTCGTTACTATATTAAAATTTCCTTTGAAGAATCAATGTGCTTGCATGCATTGATTCAGAGTCAGAGTCAGAGCTTCTTTATTGTCATTCGCACCTCATGTGGTACATGTGGTGGAGCGAAATTATGTACACAGGGTCCCAGTTACATCCAACAATAAAATGTATAAGAAAAACAGTAATAACATCTAAGATATGAACTAAGAAAAACATCAACTAAATATACACTAAGCACTCATAACATAAAACATTGAACATCACCACAAACATGAACATGAGTCTGTGAGCAGATGTGCACGCATGAACACATCAACATTGAAACAGATCAGCAGCAACATGAAACAGATCAGCAGCAACATGATATGGTTTTTCACAGTGATTATTCTAGTTAGAGATTCATGAGTCTAACAGCCTCAGGGTAGAAGCTGTTCCTCAGTCTAGTGGTTCTACACTTAATGCTCCTTAACCTCCTTCCTGAGGGGAGTGGGGCAAAAAGTGTGTGTGCTGGGTGGGTGGGGTCCTTCATGATGCAGGTGGCCCTCTTCCTGCATCTGGAGGTGTAGATGTCTGTGATGGTGGGGAGACTGACTCCAACAGATTTCTGTGCAGCCTTCACCACTCTCTGCAAAGCTTTTCTTTCTGCAGCTGTGCAGCCTCCATGCCACACATTGATGCTGGAGCACAGGATGCTCTCCACTGCACACCTGTAGAAGGAGGTGAGGACTGAGCTTCCCAGACCAGCTCGCCTCAGCCGCCTGAGGAAGTAGAGTCTCTGATGAGCTTTCTTGATCAGGCTCGTGGTGTTGTTGCTCCAGCTGAGGTTGTCATTCATGTGTACACCCAAGTACTTGTAGCTGGAGACCACTTCCACCGCAGATCCTCTTATGTTCAGGGGGGTGTAGGTGTTTTTGTTCCTTCTGAAGTCCACAATCATCTCCTTTGTCTTCTTCACATTGATGTGAAGGTTATTCTCTCTGCACCAGCTCTCCAGGTGTTCCACCTCCTGCCTGTAGCTGGACTCATCATTGTTTGTGATGCATCCCACCACCGCTGTATCATCTGCAAACTTTACAATGTGACAGCCTGGATGGGTAGCTGCACAATCATATGTGAGCAGAGTAAACAGGAGGGGGCTCAACACACATCCCTGAGGAGAGCCAGTGCTGAGGGTTATGGTGGAGGAGGAGAGGTTGTGGATCCTCACTAACTGTGGTCTGTTTGTTAAAAAGTCTAGTACCCAGTTGCAGATGGAGGGGCTTAGTCCTAGTGTGGATAGTTTGTCCATCAGGGTTTGGGGGATCATGGTGTTGAAGGCGGATGTGAAGTCCACAAAGAGCATACGGACGTAAGAGTTTTTCTGCTCCAGGTGGTTGAGTGCAGTGTGGACCACAGAGGAGATTGCATCCTCTGTTGATCGGTTCTCACGGTATGCGTACTGATGAGGGTCCTCGTTGATGTTGATGGTTGTTTTGATGTGAGTCATGACCAGTTTTTCGAAGCATTTAGCGACTATCGGGGTGAGGGCCACTGGCCGATAGTCATTCAGACCAGTCACTGTAGAGCTTTTTGGGACTGGGATGATGGTGGCAGTCTTCAGGCAGGTGGGAACTGTCTCCAGGGTAAGTGAGGTGTTAAAGATGTCTGCCAGCACCTCACAGAGCTGATCAGCACATTCCTTCAACACTTTTCCGGGGATGTTGTCTGGGCCAGTTGCTTTGTGCGGATTAATCCTCCTGAAGGTACTCCTTACTTCTGCTGAGGTCACGCTGAGATGCTCTTCATCCGGTGGTGAGGTGAGTCTGGTGCTGGGTGGTCTGTTCGGGTCTTCAAAGCGTGCATAGAACTTGTTGAGGGCATCAGGCAGAGATGGGTCTTTGGGACATTGTTCACTCCTTCCTTTATAATCTGTTATGCACTTATGCACTTATTCCACCCATTGACTTTATTGTTAGTCGGCCTGACTACCATAATTTAACTACACGGATTACACAGTAAAGAAGATCATTTATGTATTTTTAAATAATTAATTATTTGTATTTTTATATTTTATTTTGACAGACGTTCTACCATCCCTCGGCAGCTTCCTGCCACTGAACAACATTTTCCTTTGACAGAGCACACTTATAAATCACAGAGTGTTTAAAAGTAAATTATAAATATGAACTGGTTTCAGTGGTGATTTTAGCCTCTTTAAATTTAAACTCAGCACCCCTGAAAAATAAAGAAACCATCATTAGGATTGTGTAAGGAAACAGTTCTCAAACCTTAGATTCACCAAAATATTGAATAAATATGGAATAAATGACGACAGTCTCAAACAGGCCAATAAAATCTATGATTTGTTTTGCACAAATCCTCCACCTGTCAATCAATCCGGTAGGCACGTCAGCAGTTGACCAATCAGCATCCTCAATTTGTCCTGAAGTGAACACCCCTTACCTGCAGAGCTGCAGCGGTGTTGCATTACAAACACTTTGCAGTCAGAGAGATTTCAATAATAACAGAGTTTACATCTTTTGTTTAATGTTAATGTCTACAGTAATAAACTTGTGTAAAATTCAACAGAATACAGGAAATGACATCTACTTTAATCAAAATTCTCTGGGGGAGGACCCCCAGACCCACCCCCACCAACGCAGCCTGTTCTTTAATGTTCTTTATACAGAATGGAAAGATGAATAACTGTATAATAAATAAATGGACTTTACTTAAAGAAGTATTTGCATTTCATGTATTATTGCATTTGGCCTGTAGCCCTCTGATGGATTTTAAATTTGGCCCTCTCAGGGAAAAAGTTTGGGCACCCCTGCTCTACGATATTACGGTACTTGAAAACTCTACGGTATTACGGTACTTGAAAACTCTCCAGTATTACGGTACTTGAAAACTCTCCAGTATTACGTACTTGAAAACTCTACGGTATTACATACTTGAAAACTCTACGGTATTACGGTACTTGAAAACTCTACAGTATTACGGTACTTGAAAACTCTACGGTATTACAGTACTTGAAAACTCTACGGTATTACGGTACTTGAAAACTCTACAGTATTACGGTACTTGAAAACTCTCCAGTATTACGTACTTGAAAACTCTACGGTATTACATACTTGAAAACTCTACAGTATTACGGTACTTGAAAACTCTACAGTATTACGGTACTTGAAAACTCTACGGTATTACAGTACTTGAAAACTCTACGGTATTACGGTACTTGAAAACTAGCTCAAGTGCTTTCTAGAAAAATGTACATTGGATCTCTAGTTAATTTCCAAAGGCTCACTGAGAGTTGGAGCATTAATGTGGAACATTTCTATAACTACAATAAATAAGTTCCATGTGTGAACTGTGAAGAACCACAGTGAGGTCGTAGAGGACAGAACATAGTGGGGCTTCAAATGAGAACCACATGCGGACTCTGTATTAGCAGATCATGAAGGAATCTGTGAAAGTGCAGCCCTCCTCCACACCTCTGGGCCTTTACAGCCCCTTTGGGTAAGAGAGGGCAGGTTTGGGGAACTCTTCACCAGTCCATCACTCGTGTATGCTTGCAGTCTTAAGGTCTCTTTACTGTAGAGTCACGTTTTTACCCTGATCTGCATAGCTTTGGACTGTGGGATGAACCTCACAAAGGCACATGTAGAACAGGCTGCAGGCAAGTTTCAACATTTGCTGCACTGTTAGAAAAGTCAGCAGATTTATGAGGACTAAAAGAACATGCAAGTCATATCAGCCCACATGGGAGGTGAAGCTTGTGCAGGATGATCTGTACGTTCTCTGAACTGATCTCGCATCAGCTCATTAAATTTGCAAACGCTGATTGTTTACCCATCTGATGATTAGAATGTCTGGGAACGGCTAGTAAAAGGTCTTAGATCTCCCCCAGAACAAATTTCTTATTGTTGTGAAAGCTCTATCTCTCCATCAGCACATCCTAGTTTCTCCTCTGGCACACCAGGTCTGAAAGGAAAATTAAAAGCTGTCTGCACACAGGAAGAAAAAAAACTATTCTGTGGTTTGAGCTCATAGCTTAAGGGAAATGTGGAACTCATACGAGTAGCTGGAAAAAGAGGGAACATTATGCATTAGTCATGTATTATCCTGAACTTGGATCAAATGTCTGCCAGAAACTTTATATCTGACTTATGTGGATTATAGGACGTTTTGTATACTTGCAAAATAAGCTATAGTTGTGTCCCATTTCAAACAAGTGGTTACACTAGCTTTAAACTCATAATGCAAAATCCAGTTCTTGTTGCAGACTAAAGTTTTTGGACTTTTTATATGTTCTTGAGATTATTGGGCTATTTTCTCACTGTCTTAGTCGTTTGGATAGAAGAAAATAGTCCCATACCTCCTCTTAGTCACGTAATATTGCATCTAAGATGGAAAAAAAAAATAAAGGAATAAAATTAAAACTCATGCTATCCAGGAAAAATCGAGTGTGTGCACATATCTTTTTTCCCTTAAGAGGACATTCCATCACAGTGTGTAAATGTAGTTTATTTGGCTTAACTTTTTTTTTCTTCTGCTTTCTAGATTTAAATGACTTGGGAGCAGCTACAGCAGCAACCAAAAGCCCTGAAAAAACAGAAATCGTACTCCGGGATTATCAAATGGAAGTCGCTAGACCTGCCTTGGAGGGGAAAAACGTTATAATATGCCTCCCAACAGGAAGTGGTAAAACCAGAGTTGCGGTGTACATTACCAAGAAACATCTGGACAGCAGGAGGGAGGAGGGGAAACCAGGGAAGGTGATCGTCCTGGTGAATAAGGTACTACAATCTGAGTCGGGTGTATCTCTAACCCCTCATGTTCATTTTAGAAGCAAAGAAAGCACTAAAGTTAATTTGACAATGTGGGTCAGCCCACCGCAAATTCCATGCCATGAGGTTTAAAGCAAGTTTTCTATAAAACTATGTAGTAGGCGTTTTTAGAATTCATGTTACTGGGGCGTTGTTCATTCCTGGAAGCAACCTAATAATTACTTGGTTAGCTGTGTTTGTGCAGTACAAGACTTCTGCTCTTTTTGTAAACAATCGAGAGAAAAAAAATTGTCTGCATCTAATTTAAAGCTTTTCCTTAAACAATCAAGTAGAGCTTTGAACATTTTTAGCTGTGGTGAATGTGGCAAACAACTCCTTAAATTGTCAGGAAGTCTGTACTAACAGAGACACTACAGTCGTCAGTTTCACAGACATTGATGCTGTAAACCTCTTGTTTTCTCACAGATTCCTCTTGTTGAGCAGCATTACGCCACTGAGTTTTCACCATATCTAAAGCCCACATATAAAGTGGAGAGGGTCAGCGGAGACTCCCAGCTCAAAATCTCTTTCGCCAAGATTGTGCAGAGAAATGACATCCTCATCTGCACGGCTCAGATTTTGGAAAACTTCTTGGAGAGGGCTAACAGCGGAGAGGATGAAGGGGTGAAGCTGAGCGGTACGATTTTCTACATCAACATACGTACTTGTATCATTCAAGCACGAGTTTAATGGTTTTGCTTTTTGCTCTTTTTTTTATATATATTTGATCAGAAAGTGAGATTTCATACGGGATATTTTTGGCAAAACTATATGGAACATCAAAATGCTAAAAATTAAATAAATAAAACATTATGAAATAAGAACATTTTTCATTTTTGTTTCTTTTATTTCATAATGGCATTTTTCATAATGGCTTATTTATTTCATAATGTCACTGTTCAGCAGAATGGCTTCAGCTGTCAATCAACGTCAGTGGGTTGGACCTGCACGCCCACTGGCTGAGCCTTCACATTAGTTTTCCTGAATACCTGCTCACTGGTACAGCTAGTGCTAATCTTGTTCAATTCAAAGAATTAGAAGAGTGAGTCCTCCCATGTGCGCTCTCGTGCGTGCTCTCGCGGCACCGATAGATTTTTGGCAGTCATCACTTTTTATCACGACACCTGTATCTTCCGAGAACGTAATCCTCTCTATTGCTAAAGTCCTGAGCTGAACGAAGTTCATGCAACTCTGCCATACTTTATGACTGTTGACCTAGCAAGTTGCTGCTAGCTGCTATGCTAGCTGTACCAGTGAGCAGGTATTCAGGAAAACTAATGGATGTGAAGGATCGACCAGTGGGCGTGCAGATCCAAACCACTGATGATGATTGACAGCTGAAGTCATTCTGCTGAAAAGTGGCATTATGAAATAAACAAGCCATCATGAAAAACACAATTATGAAATAAAAGAATAAAAATTAAAAAAAAATCATAATGAGCTTAGATACTTATTCCATAATGCTTTTTTTTTTTTTTTATTTACTTTTGAGCATTTTGGTGTTCTATAAAACCATGCATCTTATGTAATGTTGTATTTATAATAATTTCTACAAAACTTTGCACCTTTTTATAGAGAAAATTTGGCGTGCAATTTCAATACAGTCTATAAATTATGAATTGGAGAGCTAAAAATGATGGCAAGGTTCTGGGTAAGGGCAAAACATGTAAGTTTGCAAAACTTTAATTAGGGATGCACGATATTGCATATGCCGATATGTTAAAACTTATTTGGCCGATAACCGATGCTGATACTGATATTTTATATACTTCCCTTTGTCAGAATATAGCCCTCTTATTTAGGCTTATTTGCTACAAAAATGGTGCAACCGCTGGTGACATGTGTTCAGTAACAGCCATATGCATAGCACTTTAACTTGTATTAAATGAAAAGTATTAAATGTTATTTATTAGCATTAGTCACCTGCGACGCTGTCTCACTTGTGGAGGCTTGTTCTGGGTTCCTAGCTGCAGTCTGGGATCTACTGCACTTCTGTGCATGAAGGACAGACTTTTTAAGTTCAAACATTTTGGCTATTAATTGTGCCGTAAGACTAATCACGCTAACGGGGCTAACACGACGTCCAAACATCTGTGGTAAAACTCACCCAACAAGTTGTGCTATCAGCTATTAGCTTCTCAATGACGGCTTGTAACTCGGGTAAAGTTACGTCGGAAAAATGTCTCCGACTGGGGACGATGTAGTGAGGCTCAACGTAGTCCATAAATCTTCGGAATCCGACATCCTCACCAACGAAAAATTAAACTTCCATACCACCGACATTTTGAATTTTCCTCTCCGCCGTGAGATCAGGTAGGCGCACGTGACGTCATCGCGTTGTGCTGCTGCAGGCAAAAACAGCACCTCTTATATCGGCGAGTTATTTTAATGGAATGGCCGATGTTGATATTGAAAGTTAATGTTAATATTGGTCGATACCATGCCGGTAATATCGTTCATCCCTAATTTACATAAACTTCAGAATGACGAGCTGAACTTGATATTTTCAAACAATGTTTGGTATGATAGATGGCCATATACTAACAAGAACGATCTGATGAAATGCAACTGAAGATCTGAATCCATAAGTAAATAGAAACTAGGACATCAATGGGCAGGTGCAGGAAGAGCAGAAAACACAACTGAGAGCTAGAAAAGGGAAACGCTACAATGACACAATATAAAATGTATAAACAAAAGCAGGGCAACGCTAATATAAGACCTTAGTCTTGGTTCCAGTTTTGGCATTGGATATGAAGAAAAATGTTCATTATTGGTTAAGGTTGCAATCTTATTTTTAGCTTAAAATTGAAACTACAATGAAAGATTTAACCTTCATTTAAATTCCTGTTGGTGTCCACAACTGAACACAGTTGTACCTCCAATGTAAAAATGATTGCACCATCTCTAGTATTTTTTATTTTTTTTTACCTGTTTGCTAAAATCCGTCCTGGACGTCACTTTCAGCACTGATCGGTTCTGGAATAGAACGCCTCCCGGAGGACTCAGAGCAGGATTTCCCTCGACGGGGATCTTGTCAAAGTCTTCCAACTCTGGTGTTCGCTTTTGTTGGCAGTCACCAGTCCAAGGTGGAATAGCCACCTCAGAGGAACATATGCTGTTTGTTGAAACACTTGAAACCAAGTACAGGCCACACGTCTGTTGGAGCCATCAGTCTGTGGCTGATCAAATTCACCTGAGAGCCTCCATCACGATACATCAAGCTGCAGCTTTACATCACTTTCCCTCCTGAGACAAATCTGAAACACGAGTGATTTTCATCTACCTTTGCTTTTTGCTTTTGTTTTATGCAAATCATTTGAATTCATTTTTAAATCGTTAGTTTAAATCTTTTGAAGTAAGATTCCGTGGACAAGTTGGAAACAATAAATTATATAGGTATAACATATACGTTTATAAATAGAATATCAGTTCGCATTGTGAGTCTTGTACATATCACACTGAAAGCTAATGCTGCTGCAACCAGACTGAGTACATTACAAAGATGCAACAGACATTTTAGTCCAAGAATAAATGCAAAGCAGGCTTTAACATCAACGCTTCTTATACTAAAGTTGGCCTTGAAAACCAGGGAAAGGATAAAAGGAGACAGCTGCGAAATAAAGACGGAGATAAAATGTTGGCTGCAGCAGCAGTCATTGCAAGATTTTCCCAAAAGCTTTCTGACATTGCCTGGTTTTCTTTTATATTAGTCAAAAGTTGCTGAATGGGTTATCCGTGAGCCTGTCACACTGATCAACAACAGATTTAGCTTCAGAACTAAAGATTTTCATACAGTCTTCCAAGACTAAATGTTTTGTCTACAATGGCTGAAAATTGCGTGGTGTGAACCCAGCCTTACCTGCTGTACGTAGCTTTTAGAGAAACCTCAGTTTGTTTGTTTTTTAAAGGATTAAAGAGCTGCAAGACCAAAGCAACAATAAAACCAAAGTAAATTGCTGCTCTTAAAACATCTTAAATTGAGGAATTTTCTGGACGTTTCATGTCTATGCTTTCTTATAAACGTTTACGTTGTCATCATGCCAGTCATGATTAAACTCTCCAAACAGAGCTTGTTCAAAGAGCCATCTGCAGCAGGTGAGATAGTTATTGCTCAAAACCTTTCCACAGAACCCCACTTTCAAAGGTTTGAAACTCTCTCAGCAGAAAGTTCTCCAACAGATGTTATTGTGGGTTCAAACTGCTGCGTCAAATGTTCCGAGGAACGCGCTGAGTCGTGGGGGAGGATTTCTCCTCTGATCATTCAAGGAAATTACCTTGTTTTGTTTAAGGACATGAGTCAACATGATAAAATTATCTGTGCTTGGTTCAGGAAATTGTCTTCCCTCCCCGGTTCCATTTTTGTCAGTGAGAAATTATTAAACGTGAATTATATTGTTTAAAACACCAATCAGTGCTCTTATTACATATTACCTTATTACCCATTATTACCTTATTATCTAATGTTTAAAGAACAATCAGTTGTATTTATTTGAGTTTGCCATCTTTTCTGTAGATCTAACGTTGATAATAATAGACGAGTGTCACCACACGCAGAAAGGAGATGTCTACAACCACATCATGATGCGATATTTGCAGCAAAAGCACAAGAACATTAGACTCAAGAAGGAGGAGAAGGATCCAGTACCCCTCCCTCAGCTCCTGGGCCTGACTGCTTCACCCGGGGTTGGAAAAGCGAGCATAATGGAGAAAGCTGTGGAGCATATAATGCGAGTAAATGCTGTTCTATGTTTTCACTGAATAACGGCTTAAATGAGCTAATTTTCTCCTTTATTTATTGAGACTCTTAATCCCAAAAAACAAACTTTAAAGTTCCCAACATACTCAGAACATTAAAAAGTTTTGAGCCTCACCGTATTTTCCGGCGTATAAGTTGCTCCGATGTATAAGTCACATTTATTATGCATCACCGCCGACCCCCGAGAAACGTGGGCCGGTGTTGTGCCAAAAATGGATTGGCGGCTGCGTGCACTGGAGGACTCGCTTTTGCAGCTCTTCGAAATTTAACAAGATTAAAACTGAAAAACAACTATTTGTTTGCTTGACATTATAGCAAAGGCATGTCTAAGTTTAACGTTTTCCTTAATAAATGCACTTTAATGGTCAATGTTTGGCGGGGGGGCAGCGGTGGTACAGGAACAACATGTACGCCTACTTGTAGTTGTCAAACGCCTAGAGGGCTCTCCCGCCTCTAGCTGCTACAAATGGTAAAGTTTACTCTTGTTCATGTCAGTATGAATGAACATTTAAAGTGTCAGTCAAAAATTGTGTTATGAATATGGGGGAAAAAACATATATAAGTTATAAGTCATATAAGTCACAGGACTGGCAAATCTGCAAAAAACTGCAACTTATACGCCAGAAAATACAGTATATTCTGTTCTTAGGTTGGGATGGCAAAAATTAGATTGTAACAGTCTGCAGCACTTCTGACTCTGCAAATGTGCCTTTTTGTCACAGATTTGTGCAAACTTGGATGCTACAAGAATCATGACGTGGAGCTTTGAAGGAAACCATAAGAAACCTAGAAAACAAACAATGTCTGCCGAGGACAAGAAAGAGGTGCATTTTCTCACATGAAACTGTTTTATCGTGAACTTAACAGCAGATTTATTTAATAATGAAGACTTTGAGTGCATGTTTACCAAATATCTGCTTTTAGGATCCGTTCGGTGATGTTATAAAGACCATCATGAATGCCATTCATGAACATGCCAAGTTCTTCCCCACCTGTGACCTGGGCTCTCAGAATTATGAACAGTGGGCGGTTCAGAAAGAACGACAAGGTAAGAAGTAGAACTTATCCTCGTCCTAAAGAGGTATTAAAGGACAAAAATGACATTAGATGCAACATTCCACAAAAACAAGATTTAAAAAGAAAGATGCAAATTGTTCTTATTTTCCAGGAATACGCCATTTTAAAAATCAAGAGCATCTTTTTGTGAATATATTATGTTGGAAAATTCTTGATTTTTTTTCACTATATTTTCCCATTGTCCAGTTGCATTTTAGCACTTACCCTTAGTTATAAACCTGCCTTTTATTTTTATTTTACATATTTATGTTGGACTATTTCCTTTTAGCTGCCAAAGAGGAAAATCAGAAAGAGCGAGTTTGCGCAGAGTACCTTCGGCGGTACAACGAGGGTTTGATTCTCAGCAACACCATTCGGATGTGTGATGCCCTCAGGTGCCTGAACAAATTCCATGAGGAACAAATGAAGAAGAAAACATCCGTAGATGATGAGCAGAACATACAGATAACCGCCACGGAGAGGTTCCTCTTCAATTTGTTCAAAGGTTATGATTTTAAACTTTTTGGTAGTCGCCAGTTCAACTGCAAATTATGTGTCACAGTAGTATTGTGAAGTTGGAGATTTAATGGGTTGGTTACCTCCCCTTGCATTTTACTCTTTTTCTAACCATAGCTAACTTGCTTAGAGTTGAAGTTGTAAAAGTTTACTTTAACACCGATAGAAAGATTTACCTTTAATCGCTGAAATTTACACCCTACAGATAACAAAGAGGAGCTGGAGAGGCTTGCAAAGATTCCAAATTATGAAAACGACAGCTTGGCCAAGTTGAGAACAAAGATTTTGCAGGAGTTCAGCACTAGACAGGAAGCCAGAGGGATCATTTTTACCAAAACGCGCCACAGCGCCATTACTCTAAGTCAGTGGATTCAAGAAAACCCCAAGTTTGCCGACATCGGAGTGAAACCCTCGCATGTCATTGGAGGAGGAGACCAGAGCGATGTTAAACCAATGACTGCTGTAAGTGCACGATACGCAAACCACCCTCAGTTGGACTGTTGTAGTCTGAGCATTTTAATTGTGACTTACATTTGTGTTCATCAGGCTGAGCAAAAGGATGTGCTGAAAAAATTCAGAACTGGAGAAGTGAACGTGCTGGTTGCTACCACTGTGGCAGAGGAAGGTTTGGACATACCTGCCTGCAATTTTGTTATCAGATATGGCCTTTCAACCAATGAGATCGCCATGATTCAGGTCAGTCATGCAAACTGTGACTGTTTATTCCATGTCCTTGATGGAAAATGTGATTTGTTTTTATCTCTTTTGCTGAGTGTGTTTTTCTATATTCATCCAGCCATTATCTTTACCCGCTTCTTCCTTTTGGGTCGCGGGGGTCACTGGTGCCCATGTCTAGTTATCCCTGTTCGAAGCGGGGTACACCCTGGACAAGTCGCAAGTCCATCACATGTTTTTTTTATATCATGTATTTATATGTAAAAAAAAAAAATCAAAGATTCACAAAAAAAATAAATCTTTTTTAATTATTATTCTTAAGATTTTTTCAGAATCAGCTTTATTGTCGTTGCACCAAAGCGCAGCGAAATTACATTTCAGGACACCCTGTCTGAGAGCAACATAACAAACAGACATGTGGAGATGGAGGTGGCTGAGGCCGTCGGCCTTGAGAGGCACGGCCCTTTTTTCAGATAAGGAAAAAGAAACACGAGGTGTCGTGTAGGTGTAAAGAAAAAAAATCAAATCTCGCACTCTGCCCTAGACGGAACACAGTGTGAAAGTTGCAAAAAAAACTATCTCAGCACATGAAACAGCAACATACTGATGACATCATAATACATTTATGCATGAGGAGGCTGACGAGGGCAGTGAGTTGTCCGTGGAGACTGCCAGAAAGTTCCATAGTCCTGATAAAGATGGCACAGTGTCTATCAGCCGGCTCAACTCT